TTCTGTTCTTCATTTGGTCTTTCTTGGAGGCCACTTTGGTCTCTGGTAGTCAGCAAGCCTTCCTGGCATATTAACTTCAGTGCAACTTCTTCATTGTCCTTCAGATATTCTTCCAAAGCCGTTTTTTCTTCTTCAACCAACTGATGGACTTGCAACATTCCATGCCCACCTATTTGCCATGGTAGATAAGAGTCTGTCAATGTCACTGCAAGGATGAAGGGCATGATTCATTGTCATTATTTTTCTGGTCTTCCTATCCATTACTTTTAATTCTGAGTTCAGTTCACTAATCCAGCTGTGTACCTAATGACTGGTATTTCCCAGGTGTTGATTGCTGGTATTTCCTCCATTGAATTTGGACTTTTTCACTCTCTTGATGTATTCACCTCTAATTTTTTTTCTTGACTTCAGTGTGCTTGATGTTGTCAGCTTGAAAGATACCCAGGTATTTGTAGTAATCATCTTCATCCAGACTCTTAATGTTATTTTTATGGGTTTTCTTAATTCCTTCAGTTTTCACTATTTTCCTTTTCCTTTCCTTTCCTTGTTTGATAGTGAGTGTGGCACATTTGTCCAATCCAAATTCTTGGAGATTGTGTGTGTGTGTGTGTGTGTGTGTGTGTGTGTATCTTGGAGATATTGTGTATATACTGATATGTTGAATTTTTGCTTTCATAGATCTAGAGGGCTTGTTCTTGGGCAGTCAAAATTAAGCCTTCAGTTTCTTTCTTCAGCACCCCTAATCTCAACCAGCTCCATGTTATCTTTTTATCTACCTTTCCTTCAATATCTTTCGGGCATTGACTGTACATAGTGTAAGCGATGGACTTTTCCCCTTCAACTGAAAAGAATGAACTTCTGGAAATAAGCATTTTAAATTGAAAGGGAGTGATCCCAGCACTAGTCAAAGCGGAGTCTAAATGCTCGCAGGCATGCAGTAATAGACAAGGGGAGTTAGGACCCCTCCCCTTATTTAGATGTGTATTTTGTCAAACAAAGAACCAACATGTTAATTCCCCCCTCCCCTTCTCTGAGAATGTATCTTTTGAAGAGTTCCCAGGGAGTATCTTCCGGAGCTGGAATTTTTATGGTCCCTTCTCCGCTTGCTATCTCTTCAAGAGGTGACAGATTTCTGGACATCTGGCTCCCATCCTCCGGTTGTATATCATGTGTAGGTTATACAGATTCAATATAAGATTTAATATATTCAGGTTACATCAAAAAGGATTACTTGTACCAACTGCCCCCCTTCTTCTTCCATTGAAGAATGGCAGATACATGGATCTGACACATAGGCTTCTTTTTCTGTTAGAAAATTGATGCTCAATTGTTTCCTTTCGATATTCTTCATTCAATCTTGCTGTTTTCAAGAGGTTTCCCTTGTTCACCTCCTTCAGCAGAAGCTCTTTTGCTTTTTTTAATGTAGTCATTTAATGTTTCTATATTGGCATCAGGTAGCAAATGTGAGACTAGGCCGAAAATGCTCAGATGATGCAAAAATATGAAGAGGGGTCAGACAGGGCTGTATCCTCTCTTCACTCTTGTTTAATATCTACCCTGAATCAATTTTCAGCAAAGCACTGGAAAACATCGATGCTGGTCTAAAAGCAAATGGTGTTCGGATCAACAATTTAAGATATGCTGATGATACAGTTCTACTTGCCAGTAAGCATGAAGACCTTCAGGTCTTCATTAACAGAGTCACAGAAATATCTTAAAAAAAATATCTTTTGAGGCATGACACCTCAAAAACCAAGATCATGGTCATCAGCAAATTACCCATTAATTTCCACCAATAAATTCGGAAGGAATACTGCTAGAAAAAGTTGAAAGATCATGTACCTTGGTTCTAATTTACATGAAAGCTGGGCAAGACAAGGATAGAGAAAACTCGAATAGCATTCTTCAAAATGAAAAATGCAGTCATGACATAAGCCTAAGAATGAAAATCAGGCTTGTCAGATGTTACGTCTTTTCTATCCTGCTCTATGGAATAGAGAGTTGGTCTCTGACAGAAAGCCACTTGAAGAGACTAGAAGCATTTGAAATGTGGATTTACAGACAGTTGTTATGTATAAGCTGGGTTGACAAAATCAGATATGAGGAAGTGATAAACTGCCTGGAAAAGCCAAGGAAAATCATCAAAACCATTAAAAAGCTAAAGTTAGAAATTTTCGTACATGTGATGTGACACCCGGAACAACACAGCATACTTCGCTTAATCCTCCTGGGAAAGATTAAAGGCAAATGAAGCCCAGGCAGAAGAAGAACATCATGGCTTCAAAATCTAAAGGACTGGTTTGGACGAAATTCATCAGCACTTTTTCATGCGATTGTTGATAAAAACAGGATTGCCAATATGATTGCCAACATCCAATGACAGATATAAGAAAAAGTAATGTAGTAATTTAAGCTATGTTTTTCCTCTTCCACAGTTAGTTTCACCTGTAAGTCCTCTGCCATCCTGAGATCTAGGCAAGTACAATTGATCAATATCATTTTTTGGGTGCAGAGCATAGTGCGTTGTCATTAGTTTTCTTGTCTTTTGATCTAAGTTATCAAGTTCTAGTTGAGTCCAATCAATTATTCCAAAGGAGTATCATATTACAGGCACTGCTCAAATATTAATTGCCTTAATGATATTTCCTTCACTTAGCTTTGATCTAAAAAAAATCCTGACTTGTTTTATGTATTTTGTTGAAGTTGCTTCCTTGACTGGGTTGTGCAACAGGTCAGAAGCTTCCAAATCTCCAAAGTACTTGTACCCTTATTTTGGTGTTACTGCTTTTATCAATTATTCATTATCATGTTCGAATCTATCATCTTCAACAATTTTTCCTGCCTTAATAGCAATTGTTGGACATTTGTCAATGCAAAATTGCATCTTAAGGTCTCTGCTGAACTACTCAGTGCTTTTCAGCAGTGAGCTCAATTCAGATTTTGTTTTTCCAAACAATTTTAAATCATCAATGTAGAGCAAATGGGGAATTTTCAATCTTTTTTTTTTTTGCCAATTCATAGCAACAGTTTGTTTTGTTCAAAATGCTTGTTAGCGGAGCCATCAAAAGTACACATAACAAAGGTAACAGTGAGATGCCTTGGAATATTCATTTGATTTCAACTTCACCAAATTCTTTTCCATAGCCCATCAACTTAGTTTGCCATAGCTTCATGGAAGTCTTCAGGAATTCCGGGATGTTGCTGCTAATTCCAAAAATGTCTAAGCATTTCTCAGTCTAGCTGTATGGAACACAATCAAATGCTTTCTTATAATCAATCCAGGCCATGGACAAATTTTTGTCTTTTCTCTGAATTCTTCAAAACCGGTTTATCAGTCATCAGTTACTCATTGGTTCCTCTTGAATTTTTACCCTTCCTGTTCTACAGGTAGCAAATCCTTGTTTTCTAGATATCCATAAATTTGATTTGCAATAATACCTTGTAAGTAATTTGTAGTTTGTATGTAGTTGGCAGGCAAGTGATTGGACTGTAATTTTCAGGTTTATTTCCCCTTTCTACATCCTTCTGAATCAAAACATTTCTTAGCCATTTTTCACTTTCTATTGTTTCCAGAACCTGATTCATTTCGTTTCCTAATCTTGCATGCAAACTTGTTAGTGATTTCAGCCGGAATCCATACAGCTTATCTAAATCAGGGGCATTCCAGTTCTTGACCTTCTTTCCTTGTTTTTGCACCATTTCTTTTGTTATGTGAACATCTTCCATTCTAGTCACTTTTACTGTGGTTTCAACCTGCTTGATCCACTTTATATTTCCATTGTGCTTTCCCACAAGTTTTTCCAATATTTCAGGGTATTTTGTTTGTTAGGGTTTTCACTTGTGGTAGCACCATGTCCATTTTCAAGGATTTTATAGAAATTATTCTGGTTGTTGTTATTATTATTATTTTAATTTTAACTTCAATTTTAACAGTCTGGGACTGGTTAAACAGTTCAAGTCTTAACCAAGGACCTAAGGTAGTGTCTGACTATATAGACCAGGGGTGTCAAACTCAATTTCATTGAGGGCTACATTAGAAATGTGTTGACCTTGGAGGGAGGGTATGTGTGGTCAGAATTGGGCATGGCCATGGTGAGCATTTGACACAGGCTCAAGATGCATTTTTCCCTTCATTCTTTCTTTCCACAGTTCTTTACTATAATCATTTTCCTATCTCTTCTACCAGATATTACTGGAAACATTTATTACTTATTCTTTTTAGGGTAGGTTATAGCTCCCATATGGCTATGCAAAGTTGAATGTTTTGTCAGATTCCAGCTCTTCAACAACGCTGTAAATTGAATGGTGAAATGTGGATGGCAGCCAAGAGATTAAAAAAACTACCGTTAACTCTTTACTGTTCCCCATATACCCCTATGTATAATTACAGAGAAGTATTTATTTATTAGCATTAACTTTGACCTTTTCTCTCCCACCTCTCACTGCTTTCTTCTAGGGAGGAACTAAAGGTGCTGAACCAGAAGTATCTTTAACAGCATTCATTCTGGTTGCATTATTGGAATCCAGATCAGTCTGCAATGAACATATCAATGTATGTGATGTTCTGATGGGATATGGTATGAGGGGGAAAATATGAGCACATCTCTAGGGTGTTTTTTTTATCATAGTATTCAATTTTCCCATCTTCTTGCCCCAAAGTTTGGAATTAAAAACCTTCAGGATCACAATGAGAATACAAAGGAGATCAATGAAACCAAAATAAATAAATCAGTTCAGTAAGGATACATTAAAATATTATACATATACTATCAAGCCTGCAAGGTATTTAGATCAGTTAATTATCTGTAAATATCAAAGAGCCTTTTCACTGCTGCAGTGTAATTTTTATCACCAGCATTCCCCAAAGGCACATTTAGAAAGATCTATTTAGAAAGGGTTTCTCCAGGTGCATCACATAGCATTGCAGGTTTTACACACATTCTCTAGTGGAATCTCCATTTAAGACATTCCTAATGAATTTATCCCCAACATCTCTTCCTGCGTAAAAAGCTTAAAATAACACATATTATGACTAAACTTGCATTATTAGCGTGTAAAACATACAAGCAGGAAGAGGGCAGCACATATTCAGTTTATTATTTACTGAACACCACAAATAGGTGACTCTGGGCAGCTTACAACATAACCCTTATCCTCCCTGCACCCCATGGCAGCAGCAACAACACAATCAAATCAACCATTGATCGGTTCCATCTCCATTTGTGGTCCCCAGATGTACTGACAAAATCATGTTTTAGGGCCTTTCAACAAAGCAACTGAGTGGGGCCCAATCATACTTCAGGGAAATGATGTTCCATAGAGATGCCTAAAATTGTTCTCCAACATTGCTATTGGATCTCTTCTCTCTCCTCTGCCTTTACTTCTAGATTCTAGACAGCAGCATCAATAAGGCCACAGATTATTTACTCAAAAAGTATGAGAAACTGCAAAGACCTTACACTACGGCCCTCACAGCCTATGCTTTGGCTGCTGCAGAACGACTCAATGATGACAGGGTACTCATGGCAGCATCAACAGGTACACATATTGCTTTGTTTTAAATAGAAGAAACCAGGTGTGGTTGAGTTTTGAAAGATTAGCTTGGAAAACAAAACTCGATGGATAGATCTTTAGAAATTTAATGAGAAAAAATAAAATCAAGAGCCACGTGCAAGTGGCACCTGTTTTCTTCTAGCTGCCCAGTCAACTAGAAAACGAATCAGTAAAAATAGAGGTAAAGCTCTTTTTTCCATAGGCTCCCAGTTGTGTATCCCCGCAGAAGGCAAGAAAGTGGTGGCAAACCATTTCTTTACTTTTACTAGAAAATCTATAGGATTCTTTCTATGTATTTCTACTCACAGGCTAGTTCAGCTTCAGAAAATGTGTATTGTTTTAATTTCCAAATTACAGCAAATCCCCAAGTTATGAGCATTCATTTAGTGCCTGTTTGAAGTTATATGAGATAAGTGCCCCCTAATGATTACGAGCAGGTACCAAAATTACGAATGTTGCAGCACCACAGCAGTTATTCACCCTTACGAATGACTGCAGAGGTCTGCAACACTCACCCTATTCCCCCTGCCCCCGGTCCCCACAACTGCTTCCGCCTCCCATCCTGCCACACTGGACTCGCCTTATAAGAATTATCTCCTCTCTGCCACGGTTGCTTTGTTTTTGAGGGAGAGGAAAATTGATGGAAGCTCCTGGGTGCCATAATATTGAGCGAGTTCAGGTACTCATCCTCCTTTGCAGAGACTGAGTGCCTGAACACTCACAAGATCATGGACCCAAGACACTTTCATTCTCTGCGCAAAAAGTGTTTGCAGTGCCTGTCTCCTGCTCCTCCCCCCCCCAACTCCTTTCCACCACCACTGGAATACTTTTTGCCAAGACGGAGACCTGACAGACATGGGAAGGTTCATCTACCAGCAAACGGGGCCTTTGAAAATGGAAGGATTTGCTCCGTTGTGGAACACCCCATAGGCATCTTTGGACCGTATCAACATGGAGTGAATCCCTATGTTTTTAAAGGCCTCAAAGGCCTCAATGGGCCATTTCAAAATGGAGCGAATCCTTCTTTTTTCAAAGACCTCATAGGTGCCTATGGGCCATTTCAAAACAGAAAAAATCCCTCTTTTTTCAAAGGCCTCAAAGGCATCTATGGGACGTTACAAAATGGGGCAAATCCCTCGATTTTCAAAGGCCTCATAAACATCTATGTGACATTTCAATACAGAGCGAATCCTCCATTTTCAAAGGCCTCATAGGTGCCTATGGGCCATTTCAAAATGGGGCGTATCCCTCCATTTTCAAAGGCCCCATATTCATGCAGATGAAGCTTCCAGTCCCTGTCAGGTCTCCATCTGGGCAAAAAGTGTCCTGGTGGTGGCGAAGTAGGTCCTCTTTCAGTGCTAATGCAGTGCCTGGGGGGGCAGGGGGGAACCAAGCCTTTTCAGTTTCCTGAAAGGCTAGAAGGCTGGGGACCTGCCAGATGCCATGGGATGAGTATTCTGCAAGGCGGGCCCTGCTATGTAAAATATACTCTTTCTAGGTCCTATTAGATGGCAATATTAAGGGAAGAGAGGTGGAGCAGGGCAACCCCATCCAATCTGGTAGAATGGCAGATTCCTCAGGGAGAGGCAGTCCTCCAAATAACTTGGCTGTGTGCCATGTATGTTTTAAAGGAGATAACCATCACTATATATTGCATGCAGAAAGAAAATGGACCCAGTGCAATTCACATGACAAACAATGTGATATGGGCAAAGCAAGAGGCACCTGAAGCTGCAACACCACTGAACTGTGGAGCAGTTGTAACTTTTGGGTGACTTTCAAGGATAGAGCACATTGAGGTAGTCCAGCTGGGAAGTGACCTAGGCAGGAGTGACCATGAGCAAGGCCTCCCAATCCAGGAATGGGGACAATTGCTGTACAAGATGGATCTATCTAAGATGGCAAAGGCCCCTCTAGTCACAGCTGCCACCTGCTCTTCAAGCAGGAGGACCTCCCCAAACTGCACGCAGTCTCTGTCCAGGAAAGTGCTACCCCACTGAGAGTCAGAGATAGCATTAATAGACCTAGGAGAAACAGAAACCTATTCTTCCCCATCTAGACACTCACAGCCCCCAAGCACTGAGTCAGTATCAGAACAGCACCACCTACCCAGCCAGGGGTAGATGTAAAGATATCGACTAACTATAGAGAGTAAGCAGTGACCTTGATGGAGATATGCCAATATTGGTATAAGAAATCTTAGCCTTTCTGTCGAGTTGATTCTTCATCTGGTCTACCTGGTAGAGCTGACCATAACTGGGTATCATCAGCAACTCCGTGCCATTGAGTAACCTCACCCAACAACTTACACATATCATCTGCTTTCTTGAAGAATGGGAGACTTTTAATCAATTGTTAATTTTCCCAATCTTTTCACTCCAGTCAAAAGTCACCATCAGGGTAAGTGACCAATATTTTTATCTGCTTGGTTTAATCCTGTTTCTGTGCTGTTTTTTTTTAAAGGAAGGAATCGTTGGGAAGAACATAATGCTCACACTCATAATATTGAAGGCACTTCCTATGCCTTGTTGGCCCTGCTGAAAATGAAGAAATTTGCTGAGGCCGGTCCTGTAGTCAAATGGCTGATAGATCAGAAATATTATGGGGGAACATATGGGCAAACCCAAGTGAGTCTTTGTTTTATTGTCAGATTATAATCTTCTGAATTGTATTCTACTTTAGGCTGGTTTAAACAAAATAATAATCTGAATTGTTGCATGTTTCACCTAAAGAAGGGGAGGCAAAGTCGAGACACTATAGCAGTTTTTTAATATTTGAAGTGCTGTCATGGGGAAGAGGTTGTGGATGTATTCTCCATAGGGCCTACGGATAAGATAAGAAACAGTGAATGAAAACTTTACAGAGAAAGACCACCACCACCACCACTCAAAAAATAAAAAAGAATAAGAATTGTTTTTTTCCTGTACTTTGCATACTACTCAGCTGTTAGAATAAGGCATTAAATAACTGCTGTAGGTTTTGACTAATTCTGATAGACTAAAATAAACTTCAGTCATCTGTAAGCTTTTTTTGGCACAAAATATCCATAGGAGAAAATGTTTTGTGCTGAGAAAAGATCAGGGTGTATGCTTACATGGTGGATAGACAATTGTTTATCTCTACTTGATTAGCAGACGAGAGCATGGATCTTTTGATGTGCAGGATGAAGAATAGTTTTGAAAGGAATTTTTGCCTGAAGATTATCTAGGGTTTATGTCCTTCATCGATGCTGAAATTAAGGGAACCAAGAGAAATCTCATCCATAGACTTCCTATTGTCCTAGATCACTTAGTTCTACAGATAAAAGGTGGTTTAAAGATGTATTTATGTGTATATATGTTAACTCTCCTCTGTTTGTTTATTCATCAATTTGTAGCCCATCTTCTCACTTATGATCAAATGATCTAACAGACAATTGTAAAAATTAGAAATATAGGTTGGGTATTTCTTGCAACAAGCCACATCACCATCTTCTCCCCTACGTGTTAAACATTTATTTCTATGGTAAAATATATCACTGGATTTTCAGTTCTTTTGTGAGATGCTCCAAGACAAACAATCTTATTTTTTCCTTCTCCCATTCTAGGCAACAGTTATGGTGTTTCAAGCTCTTGCTGAATATGAGATTCAGATGCCTACCCATAAGGACTTAAACTTAGATATTGCTATTAACCTGCCAGAACGAGAAGTGCCTCTACGGTACAACATTAATTATGGAAATGCTCTCATGGCCCGGACAGCAGAGGTACAATATTTCAGCAAGTGTATTTATTACTCCTTTCATTGGAAATAATTATTTTGGTTCAAATGCAGGTTCAAATGCATCTTTTTTTCAAGAACTGGGAAAAACTATACATAATTTGGTGAAACAAGAAAGAAAACCTAAATCAGTTCTTCCTATTGGAATTGCACCAGATTGTGAGAGACTGGCTTAAGACAACTAGCTTCTTTGTTAACATACAATGTAGTTTTAAGTGACTTCCTTTTCCGCACAAAAAGCTGAAAAAGGCTGTATTTAAGACAATATTGCAAAACTGTCTGTACTTCCAAGGACAATTTCTAGGTCTAAGAGATTTTAATGGCTCTGCAGGACTTTGGAGCACTTCATTAAAGTGCTCCAGTCATGAAAACGATCTGTTGCTATTTGCTATTTCTGATATTGCAGAAGCACTTTAGAGCCAAAATAGATGTATGATACTAATAGAGTTTAAATATGTTTCTATATTGATCTGGTACAATCAAGTAGAAAGAAATATTTGTGAAACAGCCTCTGAGGGAAAAGCAGATGAAGGAACATAAACTATGGCAGGAATTACCACTAATATACCAATAGTAATAGGGGCCTTGTGAGCAAACCCACAACAACTGGAGCACCACTTAATCACCTGTGGCATTGATTAATCACTGTCAATCAATTGCAAAAGGCAGCTTTATTCAGAATAACTTACATCCTGTGACGATAGCTTTAACACCATCAAAGAACAAAATCTGGCTATCCCTGGTCCTTGGAAATGACTCACTAGGTGGATAAAAATGCCAACTCTAGTCTAAATATCTGGCAGATATCTGCAAACGACCAATAATTATGACAAAGCGATCTGACATGTTTGTATATCTAGTTATGCATTATTTTTCTTTGGACTGACAGTGAATGTAAAGTCAAGAATTGTCACGGTTCGTTGCACAGTCAGCCAGGTGTTAATATCAGAACTTCTGTCATTAACGGATGTGAGTGTTAAATGAATCATGCCCAATTTTATGACTTTTTTGCCCCAGCCATGAAGCAAATAACCATGATCAATAAGTGAATCATGCAGCTGTTAAGCAGATCCAGCTTACCCTATTGACTTCGTTTGTCTGAAGCCCCTTGGGATGGTTGCAAAAGGCAAATACATGACTCTAGGGGCTCTGCAACGTCATAACTACAAGGATTGGTCCTAAGTCACCTTTTTCAGTGCCATAACTTCCAACAGTTGTTAAATGAGCAGTCATAAGGACTACTTCTATCTGAAAGTAATGGTGAGGCCTTTGTGCTACAGGATACTTAATGGATTAAGTGTCAATGAGTAATACAGCAAAGCACATAGAAAAACGGCATAAATAAAAGAAATAAAAATGCAAATGCCCAACTACAGGTAATCTTTGACTTTCAACCATTGTTTTAATGATGTTTGAAAGTTATTATGGCCTCAGAAAAAGTGATTTATGACCCCTCCTCAAAAGTTGCAACCCTTGCCATATCCCGCAGTGACAATCTTGGCAATCGCTTGCATTTATGATGGGTGCAGCATTTATGATGATCTTGCATCTTGCACCTTGCACTGACATGATCATGATTCCCAACCTTCCTACTGGGCTTCTTTAGATTTGAACATTTTTATTAATTTATCAGAATATAAAATACAAAGGAAATGACAATAATGGGAAACTAAGGGAGGAAAAAGGGGAAAGGAGAAAGTATGGGATAAAAAGGGGGAAAAAAGAGTTGACTTCCAGCTCTCTTTAGCAAAGCAGAAGATAATAGCACTGTAGCCTCAACTTTTTACCTTCACACAATAATATATACTAACCATTTTTATAACCACAAACATAGGTAATCAGCAAAACCAAAATCAAAGTTTAATTCTTTCCAACACAAGCACTAAATCCATTAGATATGTTCTTTTCCTTGAATAAAACAATCAATTTAATAATCTCAACTTTTTTTCCTTTTGCTGTGCGGAATAATATGTATTTCTGTTTGGGCCTATTAATCTTTATAAACTATCATCATTTGTGTTGTAGAGCGATGGAACAGATGAGGCTTAGACCAGAGCATACAAGTAACAGTCTTTATTCAGGGAATAAAGGGTTGTCGCATCTGCCAGCTAACAAGGCAGACTGCAAGCGAACAACGGCTGGCTCTGCTCGACAGCCGGCTTTTATAGCCGACTGTCAAACGGAGCCAACCAATGGGAGCTGCTGGTGCTCCCGCTCAAACAGCGGACCTGGTTGGGGACTCCAACCAGTCCTAAAGACATAACACTCCTCCCCCCTAGCTGGGAACATGCATAGTCTTTGAGATACGTGGGTGGATTGCGCTGGCGACCGGAACGTCGTGGTTCAGGGAAACTGCTGGTGGGCATCGAGTCCATGGAACAAGGCTCCGAGGTCGCCGGGGTATCAACTTGGCTTGGCGTGGGATCTTGGGAATGGAATGACTCCCCTCGTTCGGGCTGGCTCGGAAAACCGCCTCGGTCCAGATGACTGGTGATCCTGCTGGGTGGACGAGGTGGAGATTTGGGTTGGCAGTCCGGATCCACTCTAGGCTCACTCTGTTCGATTGGGAATGTCCGGTTCCTCAGGGAGCTTCCTTCTGGAACTTGGACGGGAACTCGAGGGCTGGCCGGTGGATTCAGTTCAGCGTTGGTCAGACTGTTCCGCCGCCTCCTTAGTTGGTCCAGGTGTCTCCGCCACACGCGACCATCCTCCAGTTGGACCCGATAGGATCTTGGACCCATGACGGCCACGATCTGCCCTGGCACCCACAACGGATCTCCTGCGTAGTTCCTTGCAAAAACTGAGTCCTGCAAGGCAAAGTCTCTGACCTGGCTGTCAGACCCTAACGGGGTGTCAGGACAGTAATGGGGGTGCAGTCTGTCTAGGGTAGTCCTTAAGCGTCTCCCCATTAAAAGTTCGGCCGGGGATTTATTAGTGCCTGTGCATGGTCTTGTATGCTGGCTGAGGAGAAAACGAGACAACTTGGAATGCCAGTTTTCCTGACCGAATCTGGCTAGTGCCTCCTTAGCTGACCTGACAGCTCTCTCCGCCATCCCATTGCTAGCAGGGTGAAAAGGGGCCGTGAGGACGTGTCTGATGCCCAGATTCGCGATATACATACTAAATTCACAGGATGTGAACTGTGGGCCATTGTCGGAGACCAGCGTGTCTGGGAGCCCATGAGTTACGAAAAGCTGGGTCAGGGCTTTAACAACTGCCTGTGTGGTGGTTGTGGGAAGTAAGGCCACATCTATCCACTTAGAATAAGAGTCCACAACCACTAAGAACGTTTTGCCATGCACAGGCCCGGCCAGGTCGATGTGTAACCGCGACCATGGGGCATTGGCGCTCTCCCACTTGGTGGGTGCGGCGGCTGGTGGGGCTGCCCTGGACTCTTGACAGGGTTGGCACGAGCTTACCCACTTGGCGATCTGATCGTCCATCCCGGGCCACCATACGTAACTGCGAGCCAATGCCTTCATTCGCATGATGCCCGGATGGCCCTCGTGCAGCACCTTCAATATGGGCACGCGAAGAGTGGTTGGGATGACGACTCTGGTACCCCACAGCAGGCATCCCTGGAGTTTTGATAATTCCTGTTGACGTGTTTTAAATGGGGTAAAGTCAACTGAACACTTTGTTTCCGGCCACCCCCTCCCCACCCAGTCCAGAACCTGGGCGAGTATTTTATCTTTTTTGGAGTGTGCTGCGATGTCATCTGCCGTCACTGGCAGCTTGAGTTCGTTGACTTCGAAGATTCCGTGCACCGGAGCGGGGTCCTCAACTGGGGTCGGCAAGGGGCAATGGCTGAGAGCATCTGCGTGGCTTAAAGTCTTACCTGGGCGATAGACCAATTTGAACGAGTAGGCCGCCAGGAACAAGGTCCATCTGGTCATCCTGGGGGACAGTACCTGTGGAGTTTGCCTGTCCCCCGATAAAAGTCCCAAAAGCAGCTTGTGATCAGTAATGAGTTCGAAATGGTGGCCGAAGAGAAATTCGTGGAATTTTTAAACTGCCGCTACTGCAGCCAGGGCCTCTTTATCAATCTGGCTGTAGTTTCTTTCAGTCATGGAGAAAGTCCTGGAGAAAAAGGCAATTGGTGCCTCGGAGCCATTGGGGAGTCTGTGACTTAGGACAGCTCCTATCCCAAAAGGGGATGCGTCAGCGGCTAGGACCAAGGGAAGGCGTTGGTCGAACTGCATTAAAACGGCTTCTGCGGTGAGTAGAGATTTGTCTGCTTTAAATGCATGGGATTCTATGGGTCCCCAGTGCCACGGAGTGTCTTTATCTAATAACCTGTGCAAAGGTTCAGCGACTGATGCTTTGTGGGGTAGGAACGAAGCGTAGAAATTTAATAACCCCAGGAAGGCTTGTAGCTCCGTTTTGTTGGTAGGTGTGGGTGCCTCGTGGATGGCTTTTACTTTTGATTCCACTGGGTGGATGCCTGAGGCGTCTAACCTATATCCTAGAAAGTCCACCTGTCTAGTGGCGATGGTGCACTTCTCCCGTTTGAGCTTGAGACCATGCTGTCTAAACTTCTCTAATACTGCCCTGACCCTCTGGAGGAGTTGGGGCCTATCCATAGCTGAGACCAAAATATCATCAAAATAGGGAACTACTCCTGGAAGACCTTGGAGAATTCTCTCCATTAGTGACTGAAAAATACCTGGGGCTATGCTAACGCCAAATTGGAGATGTTTACACCTGAATGCCCCTCTATGTGTTACTATGGTTTGTAAATCTGCTGTGTGGCTGTCGACAGGGAACTGCTGGTATGCCTGTGACATGTCTAGCTTGGCAAAAATGGTGCCGGGTTCGAATGTGTGCAACAGGTGCTGGATGACTGGAACAGGATATGCGCTAACCTGAAGATAATGGTTGAGGGTCATCTTATAGTCTGCACAAATTCTCAGACTACCATCCTTTTTTAGTGGGGTGACTATGGGGGTCCCCCATTTGGCGAAATCTGTGGGTTCTATTACCCCTTGTTTGAGAAGTTTGTCTAGTTCCGCGTCCAATTTGGGGCGGATAGCGAAAGGTACTCTGCGAGATTTTAGGCGGACGGGAACTGCCTGGGGGTCTACGGAGAAAGAGATGGGTGTGCCATTATAGCAACCCAGCTCGCTGCTAAAGACGTCGGAATAGTCTGAGAATAATGTGTCTACATCCGAAGTTGAGACAGCATGAATCCCTGTTACACTAAGGCCAAGAGAGGGGAACCAATCTAACCCCAAAAGACTAGGGAGGGCACCATTAACCACCACTAAAGGCAAATGGCCTTTGAAGGTTCGGAATTTAACAAGGAACTTGCCTTTCCCGAAGACAGGGATGTTCTTGCCTTGGTAGTCTCTCAGGGTGAGGTGGCACTTTTGTAGCTGCTTCCTGGTCAGTCTGGGTTGAATCTCCTTCAGCGTATCCCAGGAGATGATTGAGAGCGCTGAGCCCGTGTCTAGCTCCATGCTGCAAGGTTTACCTTCTTGGGAAACAGAAAGTTTAATTTTATTTGGCGTTTGGGAAGTGTGGTTAGTGTGGTAGCAAGTATAACAGTCTTCTACTTGCCTTTGGAGGCCGGGAGATGAAGAAAGTTTCTGAGGAAGAGCGCGTGCTGTCTGGCAGACTCTTGCAAGGTGACCTTTCTTGTGGCAGTTTAGGCAGCTGGCGTTTCTGAACCTGCAAGATGCCCGGGAGTGGGCACCTCCGCAGGTTAGGCACAAAGGGATCTGTTGTGGGCCACTGCTGTTTCTCTGCCTCGCTCCTACCTGTGGTTGTTTCAACTGCTTGAGGCGATGGATGTCTGAAAATTCTGTGGGGTCAGCTTCGGTCATCACCTCTTCCGAGTGGACGGTGGAAGTACCAGGCTTGGGTGTGGTGCCCTGAATCTCAGCTGCTGACTGGGCGGAGAGTTCAGCAGCTAGGGCTTCATCTACTGCTTGGGAAAGATTTAAATCTTTCCTGGCCAGTAGACGTCTTTGGAGCCTCAGATCTCTTACCCCACAGACGAGTTGGTCGAGAAGCATGTCGTCTAAATAATTCTTAAATTCGCATTGTAGAGCTGCTGTCCTCAGGGCGGCCATGTACTGGTTGATGGACTCCCCCTCGGCTTGCTTCCTCATCCTGAACGCGTAGCGTCTTGCAATCTGGGAAGGTTTAGGGGAGTAATGGTTTGAAAGTGTTTCTTGTAGTTCGTTCCACGGAACACTTCTGATGTCACGTGGTGCGAAAAGTGCCGTGGCAGTGTCGAAGACTGCAGCCCCGCAGTAGCTAAGGAAGTACGATTTCTTCCTATGCTCCGCGGCGTCAGCTAAACCAATGGCATCGATGTAATGGCTGAAGCGATTCTTGTAGGAGTCCCATGTCTCCTCGTTGGGTTTGAATGGTTGAAATGCCGGATTGGCATTCATCTTGGGATCCTCGGTGTCGTTGGCAGACTGAACTATCTCTCTGGGTGGTCGTGCCCCTAGGGCTTGCGCTTATCGTGAGAGCTGGCGGCTGCGGCTACAGCGCCCTAGACTCGCTCAGTGACTTCGGCTTTTGTAAGGGCAGTCTGTATTTCGCGCTCTCTGCGCTCGTTGGCGGCTGCGGCTAACAGTGCCGTAACTGACTTCAGCTTAGTGACAGCAGTTTGGATTTCGCGCTCTCTGGGGAGCGTCGGCGACTGTGGCTACAGTGCCGTACTTCACTTGAGTGACTAAATTCAAATGGCAGCGGTTTGAATTTCGCGCACTTCTGTGAGCGTGGGCGGCTGAGGCTTCAGCGCCGTGACTTTCAGCTCATATCGCAGCGGTTTGAGCTTGAGCTCTCTGTAAGCGAGGTGGCTGCGGTTCAGCGCCGTGGCTTCGCTAGAGCGATTTCAGCTCTTTTGAATGCGAGTGCTTCTGGCTAGCCTGCGGTCATATCCCATCCTCGTCGCCAGTGTTGTAGAGCGATGGAACAGATGAGGCTTAGACCAGAGCATACAAGTAACAGTCTTTATTCAGGGAATAAAGGGTTGTCGCATCTGCCAGCTAACAACGCAGACTGCAAGCGAACAACAGCTGGCTATGCTCGACAGCCGGCTTTTATAGCCGACTGTCAAACGGAGCCAACCAATGGGAGCTGCTGGTGCTCCCGCTCAAACAGCGGACCTGGTTGGGGACTCCAACCAGTCCTAAAGACATAACAATTTATATTAACACAATTTACTACACTCTCAAATTCTTTAACTTTAAAAGGGAAAGAAACTTTTTTAACACATCATTTAAAAACTCTAGACTTTTCTTTAAAATTGTTTCTAACCATTCATTCTTTCAAATTTACTTTCAATAATATTTTACAAACTTTAGGAATTACTCAAGTAATTGAGTAGCTTAGGAAAGGGGTGATATCAATAGTAGACAGGCTAAGGTTAAAGTTTTTGGGGTTTGACAAGCAAAGTCAGTTGAGGAAACCAGATTCACTTAACGGCTGCAGTGATTTACTTAACAACCACTGTAAAAAGGGTCATAATATTGGGTCCAGTCACATGAAGACTCGCATAATGAATGCATCGATTACGGTCAAAATTCTGCTCCAACTGTGGTTGTACATCAGGAACTACTTGTATTGCCTTCTCTATAGTGGTGGCTCTTACAGTCGTTTCCTTTCATTAGGAATTCTTGATTTAAGAAACATACACACTTCTCTCAGTTACAGCGGGATCCACTCTGCTTTTTCTTCCAGCTATCACCAATGGCCTCTAAGAGACAATTCCTAAATAACCAATCCAATGCCCTTTTATTGGAAGCTTTACCCCTCCACTTTGTTGGGAGAAGAGGCCATTTTAATCTCTTCTCCATTGCACCTTAAAACAGATTTCAGGTGCTTTAAAGTTTACTATACAAATATAAAGTAATTGTCAAATGGCACTGCTTATACTTTATATATAATTTATATTTATACCTTCCTATTGAAGCAAATTAAATCCATTTATTGTACTATATTATATTAGTATGAATGTGCACATACATAGAAATTGCAAAGATTGGTGCACAATAATTTGGATAGTTTTACATTCATTGGGTCTTCAGAAAGTGTAAGGAAAGGAGTTTTCTTTATGATTTGATTTTGTTGATACCTTGTTAATATATGGTTGTTTCTTCATCCACATATTTGTTTGGGTCTTTCTTATATTTTGAAATCTGTTCCACCTCTAGCTCCTATCAGGTTACAATAAATACAACCAAGTAAAATCAAAATAGCCAAGAAACTGCAGTTGAAGGTCATGCTAACCCTGGTTGCTTTTCAGACCAAACTCAACGAAGACTTCACTGTGTCAGCTTCAGGTGATGGAAAAGCAACAATGACCATTTTGACGGTCTATAATGCACAATTGCGGGAGGAAGCAAATGTTTGCAACAACTTCCATCTTACTGTTTCTGTTGAAAAAGCCCAATTGAGTAAGTTTGGCTTCCTAGAAATAGTAGATTGTAATGAAGTTTCTGAGGGGAGGTATTAAAATTTTAGTGTTCATGTCAGAATCTCAGTGTGGGACACGTTTTCTCTGCTATTTGTTTATAAAAAGTCTCTCACTTGATAGAAAATAATCTTATTAATTTCATACTTAGTTGAGATCCAGTACTTGCAGTCAACAAACCAGTTGGGATTTGGACAGAGGGGAAATAGCCACAGGCCAGAAGGCCTCTTGTGGTCCACTAAGCCTCCACTGTTTTCCTATCACTTACCTAGTTGCAACAACTCTTAAGATTTAAGGTGAAAGATGCCAAAGAGAAAAATGACTTAATAGCATTCTTAATTTTAGAAACTCTTTAAAAACTTTTGACTGGTTTCAATTCATGTAGATGGGTTTGCAACAGGATTCAATTTTTTACCGGTTTTATTTCTGTGTATCATTCTGCACTATTACTTGTTTATCTCATTTTCCTTTGCAGAACCCACATTTATTTATCAAATTTATATGTCTCTTATCTCACAGTTCAAGGCGACACTCACTAGGTTAATATTTTACTGCTTCCTTTGGTATTCTTAAAATACCTTAATATAATACTTCAGTACAACACTTGTTTTGCTGCTGGTACTCTTCTTAAGCTTGGATACTGCCCTATTTGTATGCAGATTGCTGGTTTACATGGACAGATTGTTTGTCTAGAGTTTGCTACACAGCCTACAAGAACCAGTTCTTCAATTATTGAAATTGGATCTGGATTTAAATTTATTATTCTTTGTTTAAAAGTTCCCTATTCACTTCTTTCAAGACTTCTTTCAAAACCCAAACAATTATAGAAAATACAAAGTAAAAGCAATTAGATTAATGCTTTGTTTTTCAAGGAGATGTTATGGCTAGTTCCATGATGGGGAACCTATGGCATGTGTACCACAGGTAGCACGCAGGGCCATTTATGCCGGCATCCAAGCCGCAGGCAAATTTACCTCACAGCGCATGCGAGTGCCTCACAGCTGATTTTTGGCTGGTTTAAGGCCGTTTTCAGCTTTCCAGAGGCTTGAAAAAAGCCTCTGCAGGACGAGTAGGCCCATTTCATCACTTCCTGTTAATACCGGAAGTGACGAAACGGGCCTATTTGGCCTTCAGGGTTTTTTTTGGGGGAGGCTGAAAAAGGCCCCAAACCAGCCAAAAATCAGCTGTGAGGAGCAGTGCAGGTAAGGGGGGGTGGGGGGATTGCGCGTACATGAACAGAGGGCGTGGCGGCACACACATTGCCTTCTGGGTGCTGGCATGTGAGCGCATGAGTGCCAACACTTACACAATTTTTGGCACAGGAGCCCAAAAAGATTAGCCACCACTGGGCTAGTTGGTCAATCAAACTTTTCATCTTAAAAAGGCTGCTAAGAATTTGTGCAGAGTCTGATTTTCCCCCTTTCTTTTGTAATTTTTAGACGTAAAAGCGGCAAAGGGAGCCAAGGATACCCTCAGGCTTAAAATATGCACTAGGTAAGAATGTTGAATGTTAAAGAAAATGTTGCATTGTAGCCACATATTTAGAGTAGTAACCTGAAGAAGTACTTGTGTTACTTTTCAAGAAAATAGTTATACTTTTTCCAACTTTACACTCCATCTTTGCTTGTATATTGATCTGTTTTCTGAGCACTATCCTAATTTGTAACATTTTATTGTTTGTGGATGAAACAAAGAGCAGTATTTAAGTCATCGCAGGTCCCTCAGATTGATTTATTGATATAGAAATTGCAAAGTGCTACAGCAAGTTGGCCAGTACAAGAATGGAAAACCTCCAGGGGACTCTAGAACTATAGGTTAGACTAAGGAGTTGAGAAAAATAACCCAGGAGAAGGCAATGGGAAATATATTCCATATTGATTGGAAAATTTCACAAATCTGTTCCTGAATCCATCAGACATTGAGCTGGACTCAAGAGAACTATAGAATGAGACAAATGGTAGGTCTTCAACTTGGTTTTGCCATTTAAAGAACAAAAATACATTCTATTTTATGCCTTAATTAATGCTTTTTACTCAATTTTCACCCAAATTCATAAACTTTGCAAAAACTTCCACGAAAAATTGTTTTGTGAGTTAGGAGCATATTGTGGTGGCTCAGATGCCAGCCTATAAGATCCGTCAATAGCTAGATTTCTCTCCTTCAAGATGAACCATTTTAAAAAATCCAGAACTGCCCTAATAGTAATGAACAGAAAACTGTTTGTGAACCAGGAAATCCATCTTTGGTCATTTTTCCTCCATTCATGATTTTAGGTATTTGGGAGAAGTTGATTCTACAATGACAATAATTGATGTTTCTCTGCTGACTGGTTTTCTCGCTGATGCAGAAGACCTTAGGAGGGTAAGCAAGCTTTGCACGGGGCTTGCAATGGCTGTTTCTGTAGTTTAGCGAAGATGCTGAATGAGAGAATGTGTTATAGTTAATCATTTGCCTATATGATTAAAACTGCAGACAGAATGAATGAATCTTCATTACCAGAAAATGAATCAATAAGATGCGAAATTTTATTTCAATGACACATAAAAGGCATTACTTTGTTTAAAAAAAATCATAGTCTTGTACTGAATACTTGATTCTGCAAAACTTTGTAAATCTAGTCAAAGTTATTTTAACTTATTTTAACTTTCTTAGTGTTGTCTATAAGCAGTCATTTTTATACTGACCCAGAATTTGGTATCGGAAGAATTTGATTTGTACAAGGATGTGTGGAATTTCTTTGGCAAATTACTAATATTAAAGCTTTTTTTGGCTATCTCAAAGTTTCTCAGATGTACATCCTGGGAATCTTGAAAATATATTCGGACTTTGCTATAAATGTAGCACAGTACCATTACAATGGTTTCAGTCATCTGCAATTTCATATATTTGAATCATCTGCAACTTCTGAAGTCAATGTCCTCTTTTCCTTTCTTTCCTTTCATTTTTTAGCTTTCTGAAGGAGTGGACAGATACATCTCCAAGTTTGAAATTGACAATAATATGGTTCAGAAAGGAACTGTTGTCATTTACTTAGACAAGGTAAATATTTATGGAATCAATTTCTTTGAGTAATCACATGGTTGGTTGGTTGGTTTGCTAGGCAAACTCTGGAGAATACACCATCTGAAAAAGAATGTGTATATTCAGTGAAATAAATCTACATAATTCATTGTTGATTGCAATAGATCATATATCTAGTAAGAAAGAGATATAATAAGGGAGTACATTATACGGTATTTAAAGATCACATTTTGGCATATCTTGCCATCTGTCAGATGGCCTGACTTACAAATGGCAGGTGGATGTTTTGGGCAGAGGGAAGCATGGGGTGAGCTAGTCCAATCCATCCATTTTGAAATCTCAAGCCCACCTTGATAGGTGTTGGTTCAGTTATTTGTGAACACAGCTCTATAACTATTATTAAGTGTTGTACCTTATGACTCTTGATGAATGTATCTTTTCTTTTATGAGAGCATATGCACCAAGACAAATTCCTTGTGTGTCCAATCACACTTGGCCAATAAAAAATTCTCTTCTCTTCTCTTCTCTTCTCTTCTCTTCTCTTCTCTTCTCTT